GTCCACACGTATCCGTATTCGGAGCGTATTCGAAAATTTGCGGATACGACTGTCCACACGTATCCGTATTCGGAGCGTATTCGAAAATTTGCGGATACGACCGTCCGCACGTATCCGTATTCGGAGCGTATTCGAAAATTTCCACTCTGGAGACCGTTTTCGAAAATTTCCGGATACGGATACAAAAATTTCAGGACACGTGTGGACGGGGCCTTAATATAGATACAATTCGAACTTATTCTCAAGGGAATGACACGTAAAAAAAAGCAGGTTTCCTAGCGGGGTAGCTGGAGGCCATGTTTCTCACTTATTTGGGAAATATTTTCATTACACACACACGGACTACATGCCTTACCTTTTCATTGCCCCCTTTGATGGCCAGGTTCAGGAAAGTCAAATCCCTTGCATCTTCTTTCTTAATCTGGACGTGTCTCTTTTTCTTTTCGAATTCTGGAATGACGTCTGTCAACATCTTGATTTCTTTGAAGGTTCGACATTGTTCCATTAAATCAACGGCGAAATCTTCACATTTCTCGGATTCTTCTTTATAGTGTTCCTTAAATTCCTCGTCAAGACTGCGATGGGAAAAGATATTAGTCTAGGCGAGGAGAGGTTGAGGTTCCCTTAGTTGCATGGAGCATTGCAGCGTGTAACCAACAGCGCAATTTGAAAAAATGTTGCGAGACAAGTTGCCAAATGTTAAAGTATAATTCGTTTCTACTTTTGACAACGATTGCTTGCGTCTCCGTTGCACCGTGTAACCCCTCTCGCAACGTGTGTCGCAACGCTGCTGCGACACAATATAGACCCCTTCACAGTTCCCGGCGCCATCTTGAAAGGTAGCCTTGCCTTTGCATCGAAGCGAGTCGAACGGTGAGTTTGCAATGACAGAGACATGTGAATAATTGTCCAAGGTGTTAAAAAATGTCTCTATCATTGCAAGCTCACCGTTCGTCTAACTTCGATGCAAAGGCACTGCTACCTTTCAAGATGGCGCAGGGAACTGTGAGCGGGACTATTGTGCGAGAGAAAATTGCTCTCCGTGTAATCGCGCCTTTAGTCTTGTTGGTGAGCTATCGAACTCTATTCTCACGGGAATATAGCCTGTAGCAAATGCACTCGCACTCTCTTGCCATTTAGTTCAGAGAAACTCATATCAAATTATGGCCAGTACCCCTCTGTTTTTGTTTGTTTATTTTTATATCGGTTTTGCTTTGTGGGAAAACCGCACGGACGACGAGAACGAAAGAAATTGCATGAAGAAAGCAAGTGGCAGATTTTTGATTTTTGTTATTTTCAGTAATGACTGTTTAGATGTTTTGCACCATGTGACTGCAGCCATGTTAGATGGCAGGACCAAATACAATCGTTTTACATGAGAAACAATTCAATTCCCGAGAGCAAAAGGATTTATTGTTTTGCCATCTAACCACAGGTAGTCCAAGCTGTATTATGGGTGTGGGCACGTGATGGTGCAAAGCCTCTATAGTTTGTACATTCTCAACATCCCGGCCCGCACAGCTGGTTACGCCCCAACAGGTATAATGCGCAATATACACTATAATGACGCACCCAAAATAACTCTCATTCAATCAACCTTAAAACTCTTTCATTTAAATTGATTTACTATTGAAAAAATTAGATATCTTGAAATTATTGCTAGTAAAATATTTACCTGGATTGTTTGATTAAAACTTGGTTCAACCTGAAGATCTCAAACAGCGGGTTGACGCTAGTCTTCTCGTGAATAAACATGTAGCAGATATAGAGAGGGTTAGCCTTTGCCTGATACGTGTTGATCTTAAACAGCACCTTGTGTTCTTTAGGGAAGGAATTTCTCGGGTGTTTAGACTTCATACGTATTCCAAATGTATTGGTAATTTTTACCAAGTCAATGTTCAGGTTATTTTTACTTTTTTCCCCGGTTTCCTCGTCTTCCAGCTCTTCTATTTTATATCCCTCAGCGATAAAGTACTCCACGATGTCATAGTAGTTTAGCTGTAGCGCCATCATCAGTGGAGTGATAAAACCCTCGCGTTTCGTCTGTGCTGGACCTACATCATCCTCATCGAAGCTGTTCTTGACGATCTTCACAATGACTTTAACGCATTTATACGCGTTCATTCTAACAGCTGTGAAAAGCGAACCACCAACTTTGGCTCCATTTCCGAACAAAATTTCAAGAACTTTATCATTTTTCAATAGCTGTTCTTACGAGAAGATTAGTGTATTGCCTGTTTTCTTGAAGATCTATTTTTCTCTCTTTCAAAATACTACTGATATCTTCGGCGTTTTCTTCAAAGACAGCCTGGTATAATTCTTCCCGTATTGGATTCTTGGAGAGAATTTCAATGTATTCGAACTCGGCCAAGGTTTTTGTACGCGATCTTAAATCTGCTGCCATCTTCTGACTCTGAAACCACCCAACGCCCAAACAACTTGGACATACACTGAGTTCGTTTGCTAGTGAGTGTGGTTCGAAGCTTGGCCAATTCTGTTGACTCTTATCGTGACTTTACTGTTCCCACGAAATGCATGATTAAAGAKCTAAGATTAAAGAGCTAGCTCGGTCGGGCATAACTAATTCTGTATTATACTGTATTGTACTGATTCGTGCGTGACCTTAATGCACGCTTGATAAAGCGCTGTTCAAAACTCTTACTCACACACCGTGAAACAAAATTTCTCATGCTAACGTAAAAATATTTACATGGATTAAGTAAAGCCTCTCTAGCACTTTAAAATAATAGAAAAAAATATTAGCGCGATTAATATAAATTTGATTTTTTTTTTACTCTAAGCGTTAGTGCAGGCAAAATCTTCCAAAAAATAGAGGCAGCCATGTTAGACGACGCTGTTTAATAAGATAGGTAATTTGTAATCATTCCTTAAGAGGGGGAGAAAATTATATATAGGATATCACTAAGAAAACAAAACTTGTACGATGAACTATAACTTTATTAACGAAATTCATAAGAAGAAACATTTAGAAAAAAAAAACTTTTCCGATGAATTTGAAATTAAATTCCTTAAAAAAACTTACGAACAAGTTTATTACTAAAATCAGTAATAAAGATTCCGATGCTCTCAACAGTAACTCAAGTGCCATATAAAGTCAAATAGAAACAAATAGAAAAGATGGAATTCCTATTCGTATCCATTTATATGAATTTCCCACTTATGGACTCATCACGTGACAGAAGCACAAGTGTGACGTCATTCGTTCGAAATCACTTCCGGGTCGAAAACTATTTCATTTCATTCTCATTCTCTCGAGAATAAGATTCCTCGTTTGAGTTGTATCCATATTCATGTGTCTTCTCATGTGTCAACCGTTAAACAAAGAAATGATACTCTAGGGAATGACATGTGGTGTGAAATGGGAAAACATTACGCCCGAGCCGAGGAGGTCAATTGGGTTATTTTTAATCAAAGTTATGCTCAGCTCTTTGCACGTGGTAGGTAAGTTTTAGTTCACATTTCTTGATTTTTGGATTTTTTATTTTGATAAGGAATCGGACCCGGTAATGCTTCACGACGTACAAGCTCTATTTTCGAGTAACCATGATCTCTGATCGATATTGCTAGGATTCCTTGTTTTTCATTTACATTCGGATATTTTATACCAATGAAAGATTTCTAGTCCTAAGCCTTTACTTCGTACTTGCTTAGAACATTATTGAACGTGTCCACATCCACGAATTCCTGCTGGGCGCGCGCTGAGTAGAGTTTGGCGAAGAGTTTACAAATTGCTGTGAATCAAGAAGAAAAAAAAGATTTTTTAGGTCTATTCTCCAAGTTCGAATGCTCTGTTGCTCAAGGTTAGCCTTAGTTTTATCCTTAATATCAATGTGGTTCTTGGGCATTTTCTCCCGCCAAAACCACAGGAATCCCGCACGAATTGATTAAATTTTGGAGCCGAGAGCAAACTTTTGGGAGGGCACGTGCCCCCCGTCCCCCCCAACCCTTCCCTTCGCTAGCGATTCAGAGATTTCGCGTAAAAAAAGTCCCTCTAGCTAACTTACCTTGGATATCTTGCTTCTCGAGAAACATCAACGCCATGTTGAACCGCTCTGCCTTACACACGTACTGCAGTATTCCAAACGCGAACTTATCCTCACCTTATAATGGAAGAAAATATTGCATGATTAAAATGACGTAGGGGTTACGTGAGAAAGGGGTAATTTAGCGAACCTCTTCCGTTTCGCTGTACGAAGACTTCCGGTCCGAACAGTAAATGTTTTCATGTGCAACAAAAACACAGAAATAAATGAACGAACGAACAAATGAAGAAACATTACGTCTGAGGTTGAGGAAATAACTGGGTTGAATAGACGCCATCTTGGAAATGTTCCCYAMAATAGTCCCACAATGCGCTGCAATGCCGACTCGACCCAGGTTTTCTTTCAACCTCGAAATAGCAAATTAGCTAACAAAGAAGGAAAAATATTAATAACAAAATGCAATAAACTTTGCTTGATATCCTTACCTTTCGGAAGAATGTGATCTGACACAGCTCGAACAATACTACGAAACATATCTGCATCAAGCTTGTTACTCAACACTACAAAACAAAATAGAAATACAAAATAAGCAAAATAACCATATTCTTTGTGTAAATCGCAATTAGYAGTCCTGGTGATGGTGCGATGCTAATATGTTACCTCTCACTACTGTGATCATGGTTGATGAAATACCTTTAGGAAGCAAAGTTGGYTGGATTTGTCGCAGGATGTCAGCATATGTAGCGTAATCGTTTTGCTTGACTGAATTCCATGCTTGGTAGAAATCGAACGGAGTGACCTGCAAAGAATCACCATCATCACTACCGTCATCATCATATTATCATCACCACCGTCATCATCAT